CATCCAAGACCTAGCATATGCACGCTGTTTGTCTAGAGCTCGAAAGATCATCAGTGACGCCTCCCATCTTCATTGTGGCCTGTTTTCTTTGTTACCCTCTGGGAAGAGGTTCTGCTGTATCCGATGTAGAACAGTCAGAATGGGAAATAGCTTTGCCCCCCAGGCTATTAGATGTTTGAATGTTTAATGTCAAATGTGTACAGAATGTACATTTTATAGTAACTATGGTATCTTGGTTGTATTTTAGTGTATGATTATAATTACGAGCCAACTGCAACAGAATTTCATTTTATTATGCACTTGGTGTATAGTGTATAGTGGAATGACAATAAAGCTATTCTATTCTATTCTATTCTATTCTATTCCATTCCATTCCATTCCATTCCATTCCATTCCATTCCATTGTCATTTAACATAACAGAAGTGCAACCTTGAAAGAAGGTGATATCTGTGGCATCTGACAACATGATGTGAATCAATCCTATACTTCAATAGTGTGGATGATGGCTTCCCCTTTATTAACCTAGATGCTCAGTTCAATGTGTACAATGTTTTTTGTGCCGGGGACATACTCCACAAAGTAGGTGGAGCAGCCTAGAAAAATATACTTCGGTGGCAATGTTTGGAGGGATTCTGGGGCTATAGGCAAAGTTTGCAAGAGTTCTAGTCTGGAGCCTTGGGTTATATACCCCTGCTGAAGACAGGCATTTCCAAACATTATCAGCTTTATGTAAATGACCTTTACTGTTAGGTCTGTCCCTTGTTTTCCTTTTACATTTCCTTTTACAAGAAGGAAATAACCAAGAAATTGTTACTGTAAAACAGAAGTAAGCAATTTGATGTTCTCCATATTTTTTTTATTAAATTGTAATTCTTACAATCTCTTGCCATTAGCTAATCTGTATCAATGGGTTTGACTGACCTGCCCACAATACAAGCTTCAGGCAGGAATCACCTGAAGTATGAATGATGCATTAATGGCCACATTTGACTGGTCCCTTTGAAATCTCATTCTCTGTAGGAGTTCCTGCCCTTGCAGGAAAAAAATCAGTTGTGAAATCTTGCCTTCTCTTTGAGCACTGTTACCCTTTCCAGGACCCAGGCGGTTTCCTCACTTCCAAGCTGCTTTCCTAAAGTTTTCTAAGACTTCCTAGTATCCATAAGAAAATGTTAGTTACCAATTGTGTATTTTATTTGATTAAAGATGTAACTGAAATGGTTCTTAAATAATTTTATTCTGTTAAATTAAGGATTTTGACAAAGCCTGGATTAATCTATGAGATCATAGCCCTTCGTACTCTGGATTCAGTGGCCTATTCATTGCTATGAATATATACTATAAACCTAGGTTATCCATACTTTCAGACTAAGTTATTAATCACATGGAACTAACAGTGATAATCCTGGTATATACAATAAAGAATGTCTTGCAGTCTGTCCTGCCTCTCATATTGCTACATGTCATAGCAAACATAATGAACAAGCTTGCATTGAATATTATCCTTGACAGTGGTGTAATTAGGTAGTTTTAGCTTTTGGATTTAATGGTCTTACAGGAAGCTCCTTCCTTATATAATAAAGGAAGGTTAAATTACTTTAAAATGTGGTAAGCCAACCCTCTTGTTCATTTAGCTAGTTAGAGCCTTGAACATTTGCATAGAGGTTTTACCCAGAAGTTATGGCATCCTTGGTCTGGCTCACCTGCTGAAGAGTTTTTTTGGGGGGGCACATCTGGGAGTTGCTAGAGGCCATCATCCCATGCATTTAATATCCTTCCCAACTCTTTTTCTGCAAAAGCTTAACTTGCAATTCTGTTTTCTATGAAATACATGTGTCTCTCTTTGATAACAATGGAACTTCTGTCTGCTTACTTGAATATAGGATTCCATCTTGATATACACTGATTGAACAATTCTTTAGGTTGTGGGAACTGTAATGCTCCCAAAGAGCTACTACTATTGAAAGAGCTTCTATATATTTCAGAGAGGTATTCACTGTGTCTGCATGTACATCAGAATGAAATGCACTGCTTTTTGACCTCAGATTGGCCAAGGGAGGGTTGGAGAACATTCCATAAGTACAAGATGTGTGTGTTTCTATCTCACTCATTTCTTTACTTAGATGTAAGTTCTTGTGGTGTTTTAAAATCACCACTGTAAAACTGCCCTTCAATTCTATTTTCCTATCTTTTCTTACATTCTTCCTGGGTCAACTTATTGTTGTTGCTGTTACTGCCTTGCTTTATACATTGCACAAAGCCATACTTTGCTTAACTCTAGTTATAATTGGCTGGGTTTTCATAATATATTAAGCCACAGCAGAAGTTTGCAAAGTGCAATGACTGGGCTTGTATATGCTAAATCAAACCAAATAAACCAAAGTTTGATTTAGTGTGCCATATGAACCAGACTACTGTGTAAGAGAAGCTGTTGTTTATTGTCCAAGACCCACTGTATGATCCATAAATTTCCAGGCATTTGATTTCCAAACACAGGCATTAACTTGCAGATTTCCCAATCTAATATTTTTAGATGAACTGAATAACATGTAGATCAAGAACTGCCAAAGATATTTACAAGCTGGTTCAGCACAGAGCAGGAAGGTTCCTGATGATGAAACATTTCTGAGTAAATAAATCCCATCCATCCTCAGCTGTCTAAACAGCTGTTTATGAAGTAAATTTGGCACATCAGTTGGTGCAACAGATTTTTTGCTCTATTTTACCACTTATCACTACATTCATCTACACCATGGCTATAAAGAGCTAAAAACCAGCTGAATAAAATAAACTGTAACTTAAAAGTGGCTTTTCCCCTTGTCTGCAAGATAGATTTAGTGACTGGAAGCCACAGATGTTCATATTCCCATAATGTATTTCAGGAGTAGTTCCTAGAGAAATGCATATACATATGTACCTTGCAGAAAGCAATTTAAGCCCCAAATGATGTCTATTTTTAAAAGTATGATGTTTGTCCTGCTATTGCATGTGTAAATTCTTTCCCATAGCTAATTCAATACATTTCAGCATTTGGAGAGAAGAATAATTATGCAAATTGCAAGCAATGTTAATATTGGACTAAAACAATACATTTAAACCATGCATGATTACCTTGTAATTTTTGTAGAAAACAGTTTACTCCAGAATTATTTTTTTCATGGACTATGAAATCAGAATATTCCCTTTTGGATGCATTGCTCTCCTGTCTCCCTGTGTTGATAAAATGCAGAGCAGCTCTGAACTTTCTCCTGCTTTGAAGTCTGGAGTTTATTTCTGGATCACCCCATGATCAACATTTACAAGCCAAAATGTAAGTTGTTCTGCATATCAAATTTCCTGTCTGAAGTTTGAAGCAAAATGACTTGCTACTTCTTTCTAGGGTTCTTTCTGTAGCATTATAATTTGTAGAACTTCATTTTGCCCAACTTCCTTTCACTAAATGACACAAAGCCAGCCCTTTTATTCTATCATTATTTATTTACTGTCCTAGACAAGTAGGCCATATATGGCCACGTTGCTGATGCTGAAGGGAGGAAAAATTCTCTTTAGCACATCTACTTCATTTATATCCCCTGCTTTCTGTAAGATTGTCTCCCTCCTGATATTTTTAAGGCTCCAAGTTCCATCAATGAGAAATGCCTGCTACGGAAAGCAAATATTAAATTAAACTAAGAGTTTGGGGGGGGGGGGTTGGTTTTTTTACTGCCATATAAATTGACCAAAATTGACCATTTGTTAATTCGTAATTTGTGGGTAAGGAAGCCTGCTTTAAAAATGGCAGGCTTGTTGAAGGGTGTCAAAGTACAGCCCTCCAGTTTAAGGGCCAGGCCTTTTTCCTACTGGCAACCATATTTTTTCTTCTTTTTTTCAGCTGCTAAGGGCAATAGATGATGTGCCAGTGATTTGGAGGTTTTCCCAGTTGGGACAAAAAATGAGCTCTTTTGGAATTTTTAAAATTTGGAGAGGATTAGGATTTTTATGCTTATTTTCTATATTATTAATGGGTTAGGGGAAAGAGTGCAAATGATAATAAATAAATCGTGCAACCACAACATATTTTTTTAAAAAATGGGTTGTTCCTGGAGACTGTAAAAAAAGTGGGTGTAGTTTTGTGAGTTGCCACCCAGTTCAATTAATGACTCCATATTTGATGAATTATGTAATCTAAGCCCAATTTAAAGATAAAGGACAGTCTTTAAGAAGGTACAGCAGGATGTTTGTCCTTTGAATTAATCCCTGGAATGCAGACTGAGAAGGCCTATAAATCATCTGTTCATAACTCTTCCTGCTGTTGTGAGATGTATTACACTTACCTTTACACAAGCATAGGTTCTTAAAATACAGTGCCTGGGTTTCCCCAAATGCCTATTCAAAAAGTAAACAACAAAGATAAGTAGCTTTGTGGCATTATTTGTATGCCTTGGTATTACTACTAGTTTTAGGAACTCTGGGTAGGTTTCTGATGCTGTTTTTTTTCCTTGTGTACCACCATTGAAAATTATGGGAATGAAAATGTATTCACTCTCCCAAACCCAGTGAAATTACACATTTTCAGTTTGCTCCAGAAGAGAAGCAACATTTTGAAATATGTCATTGACCGTCCCGTCTTCCTAATGTATTATGGAGGAAGCAAGAGTATAAGGGGTGCTTCCTGTACTGCTTTTTTTCTTCCCAGCCTGCACTGTCATGCTATGAATTTCATTGGAGAGGTAAACAGTTATAGCAGACGGAGGAGCAAGATCTGACATCCAACTCAGGACTGAATCTTTTCCTTTTCTTTTCTTGAAAAGATTACTTTTGAAGGAGAATTGTTGCCATTTCAGGAAAACAGAAACTAATATTATCTGGAAGGGAATTAAAATAAAAAAGCTCTGGCTATGCTCTACTGTCTCTTTCTGTCTGATGAAAAGATAAGTAAGTCACTCATCTGAATTTCTGATCTGAATCTCTCCAGCCTACAGTGAAATGTGCAGAAGGTGACTCACTACCTATGGATCCTGAGAAAGGTCAGGGAATGGCTACTTTCCAACCAGCCCTATAATCCATAACTAGGCAATTCCAGAACTTTTAATCAGGTTGGATATTTAATAAAGGAAGTGGAGGAAAAAAAATGGCTTAGTGTTGAAGATTTGGTTCACATATTGGGCTAAGCCAAGATTTATTAGTTATCCACAATTAGTTCATACATTACTAAGCCACAACCATGGTCTATAATTCACAGTTGTAGAATGTGCTAACCCAAAACTTAACAAAGCACTTACAGCTTAGTGTGATGTGTAAACCAACCTATTTTTTGGTCACAGACTTAAAATGGAAACAGGAAGAGAGTGCAGGCCAAAACCGTCATCCTGTACCCAATTCCCTGGGAGTTCAATTGTAACAGTCCTCTAAAGGATTATTTTAATGAAAAAGGGGCCTTATTTTAATAAATAAATAAAATAAATCTTCAGAGGGATAATCATGTTAATTTGATGCAACAAAACTACTGCATTCCATCTTAAAAAATACTGCTACTACGACTAATAATAATTTATTAAACTTGTATGCTCCCCAACTCTCAACAACTCTGGGTGACGCACAAAATCAAGCAAATTACAATAAAATCAATAAAACATAAAAAGTAAAGATAAAAGGTGGCAAGCTTGATGATGTGAGGGCCTGGGGAAGATCTTATATGTTATATGTAATATGTTAGTTTCCAAGATTTTGTTGCCCCTTCCTCAGAATAAACCTGATCAAACAGTGCAGCTTCCCTTTAAGCAGAGATGAATGCATTCTTCTTGAACTGAGTTTTTTTTTTTTTTTACCTTAAAATCAGGATCATATATATTTAAAATACTCTTCATTGGATTTAGTTTTATTTGGTCGGTAGTAGAGTGCACCTAGAATGAAGACAAACAATTGTTTCTCTGTCTCAATAATCTACATCTATTCCCATTTTGCTTAAAATCCAGCTTGATAAAAGTTCTACAACGTTTTTCTATATTGCTAAAAGAATTCAGTAACATTTGGAATACATTAATGATGGGAAAAGGGAAATTGTTAATATTCTTCTTTGAATTAACACGCCTTCCTGTTTGTTTTCTGAAAACCTTGTGCAATACACTGTCTTAGATGTGATATTTCATACTATTACTAGAACAAAATGTAGACCATCATTTCTGCATTCAAGGCATGCATCTATCAAGGAAAGCATCTGTCTGTGCTATTCTTTGAACTCTGCTGGCTGCACAGACATCATTGGTTGAATCAAGGAACTCAGAGGCATTATTTTCCTTAGTTATATCAAATCCAGCTGACCATCAGTGGTGAAACTTCAGACTATGGGAACTATTTGTTTGTGCTAAGACAGGACCTTCCAAAAATGATAAAGGACATTCTTGAGATTGTACTAGACCACTGAGCGTTAGAAAAATCTGGCCTCTGTTCCTGCCTCTCAAGGCTGCACCACAGACAACAATCTGAGGTGAGCCGTAAGCAAAACAGACATTGAAAACAGAAGGCAAATCAGGAAGTGGCATTCAGAAACAAGCCAAAAGTTCAAAGGGATGATGAACTAGGGACGCAGAAACACAAGCCCTCTAATACACTTTCCTGTCCTTGAGCAGTCAGTGGCCAGTCTGAGTGGTCATTCAGATATTTTACTGAGAAGGTGAGCCCCTTTACTGAGTAACACCATGATGGCAGTACCTGCGCTTGCACCTATACACACACCTAGGCCAAGCATTAAGACGGTGTCCCATTTATTTCCATGACCAAGTCATTTATCACTGCCCATTCCATAACTGCAGAGTGTGGGTGATTTAGGCTTTCCCCCTTGACTCAAAGATTCAATTCCTTGCTCTCTGCTGCTTGAGTTTACTACTTGACTAGATGCAAGTCAAGAAGATGAGGTAATGAAACAGAAAATATTAAATATGACTTACTTTTCCAGCAACTGAGTAGCTTTTGTTTTTTAAATAATCAAAGAGTTCTTTCACCATTACTGAAAATCATTGAAGCTTTGGCAATATGCAAGGTTAAGGGATTAATAAATCAGTTTAATTATTAAACAGCTAAAATTCGTCAATCAGTTGACAAATCTACTTTTTAAAGTAAATGCACTTAGACTTATATTGAAAACCTCACAATGTTAATCTATGCATATCTATTTAAAGTCAGTTCCATTATGTTTGATGGACTCACTCCCAGAAAAATGATTATAGGATTGCACGCTTACTTTTATATTTCAGAGCATAAAGTTTAGCACTATTTCATATATATATATATTCACACACACACACACACACACATAAATGCCATTCAAATTTATATTGTGTAGAAATAGCTTTTTAAAAATCATTTTATTTATTTATTTAGTTTATGCATGCACAATTAACAAGACAATCTTTAATATTAAAAAAAATACAAACTAAGAAAGAAGAAAAAAATCTACCATATATTTTATGCTTATCAATAGTCACTGGCTTACTAATGAACTCACTATTATAATATGAACAGTACAATATTATTGTAAGATATCATAAAATCTCTGCTAAAGTAACATATATTGCTGCATCCTTTCATTAGCAGAAAATATTGCCTTTTCCAAAACAGATAAATCATACATATCCAACAACCATTCCTTGACATCTGGAATAATATCACATTTCCAATTTCTCCATATAATTATTTTAGCCACCCCCCATGCTCAGTACAACAATAATTCCTGATAAACAGTCCAATTCCAAAGCTTGTATAGAAATAGCTTTGCCTTTTGCATGCTGAAATTGAACGGATGCCAGAAAGCAACTCAGAGTTTTAGTTAAGCAGATTAAGAATGCCAGATAAAAATAATTAGTCTTTATTAGCCCTGTGGAGCCTGCAGGAGAAATTTCTCCATGTCCACTTGATGTTCTCAACTTAATATTTAATCTCACAGCATTTATAAAAGGTCACTGCATGTCACCTACAGAAGTAAATCCTTAAATTCTCGTCTTTGGAGAATTAGGTGCTATATTTTGGTGTCAGCCTATTGTCTGTCTAAATAGAATTGTCATGTCATCATCAAGCAAAGGAGAGCTGCCAGCAGAAAGGAATAGTCAAGTGGAAGACAGGCTTGCAAAAGCAGAAGACCAGAGGGGAACTGAAAGCAGCAGAATTAAATGAGAAGTGCAGGTTCTCAGAAAAGATTTCTCCTTCTGGCGCAGGAAAGCCGGGGTGGTTTCTGAAACCAAAATTAATCTTCATTTCAACTCTGCACTAATACTGAAGTTGTTTTGAATAAGTTGAGCAATTACATCCATTATGATCTGACTATTTATATATGTTTTAATATGCATCTCATCCTACAATTCTAGATGGCTTACAATGAACAAAAACATACACAGAATATCCTGGTAAAGCATGCACACAAACATATATGGCCTCCAGACT